GAAATAGAAAAATTTAGTACAGGATTATAACATAAGTAAATAAATGAATAATAATATAATGATAAATATAACTTAACAGTATAATTAATATCTTTTAGGATTTTTACGATTATCGAAATAGAGTGAGAAGAGATGAAAGGTAGACTTATACTATAGAAAGATTATACGACCTCTTCAGAACTCGATTCTGTGATAGGCTAGATAATAATTAAAAATGTTTAAATGATTTTTTAGATTTATATTAAATATATTTACTTTTTTAGAATCAAAGTATACTCATAGGAGAAATCATAATTTGGCTACTATAAGGCAAATATTAAATAGATAGCGAAATTGCAACGTGCCTACAAGGCCTACAAGACAATAAAAATTTTGTTTTTTTCTTATTGTTTGTTTAATTTCATTTTTTTTCATTTTTTTTCGTATCCTTTATTTTTTCTTTTTGTATTGTACATTTAATTTTATTTTTTATTTTTTATTTTTTTATTTTATTTTATTTTTCTGTTTCGTTTCATTTTTCTAATTTCATTTTTTCGTTTGTTTTCATTTTTCTAATTTCGTTTTATAGTTTCTTTTCATTTTTTCATTTCATTTCATTTTTCTAATTTCATTTTATAATTTCTTTTCATTTGTTTAATTTCATTTTTTCATCTCGTCTTATTCACTTAATTTCATTTTATAGTTTTATTTCAGTTTCTTAATTTCATTTTTTCATCTTGTTTAGTTTTCTTTTCATTTCATTTTTATTTTTTCTTATATTTTATTTTATTTTATTTTAAAATAAATAAATTTTTTTTTTAAAAAAAAAATTTAAGTAAATTAATAAAATTATCGTATAATGATTAACAGATTGCATTTTAAAATAAAATGACTAGAATTTACAAAATAACGTGAAAATATTTCTGAAAAAATTATATCATAATAAAATTATATTTGTGTAATAAAATCATTAATCATCTACTATAATGAATAATTTGTTATAGCATTAATGAAGATTCTTATAATAAAGTTCTGATTGGTTGGATCGATAACTTATTATATTGAGGCATGACTGTATCTTATTAAACTAACATCATGCATATAGTAACTAATTTTAACTAAACTAATTGCAAAATTCTCATCTGCTATAACAGCACTGGCTCTGATAAATATTTAAGTGATTCAAGCAATTGTACTGATAATAGATCTGACTTAGGGTCAGATGATTATAACGACTATGAATCTAATTATGAGTTAGATGCATATATGATTTTTTTTTATTTTTTTTTTAATCTTTTTATTTTACAAAAAAAAAAAGATTGACTTCACTTCTTTTTTCCCTAGTCAATCGATACATCATGTATTTTATTTAGATCATTAAAGTCATTAGTAATATATTATAATCTGGATGTTAAAAAAAATTATTTTTATAATCTGGTTGATAGTTATTCAAAGGAAGTTGAAGAATATGAAACTTTCTGGAAAACTCATAAAGTTTTCACAAGAAAAGCTTTAAAAGCAAATTAATTTATAACAAAATCATTATAGTTAAACAATGATATTTATAGTTTTTTTAATAAATTATTTTAAATTTTGAATATGTATAAACATAAGTTTCTAAGCATTTACATGTTAAGTATGCATAGTCCTTCCTTATAAAAAAATATATTTAAGAATACAGAATGTATAGTCACATACACTTTCTGGTCAAAAGTATTAGACACGTGATTTTAATACTTAATTGATATAATTCTATCGATCATAACTTTTGATAAAATGCATAAAATGAATCAAATTTTTTTTCATACATAGTTAAAAGCTTTAATATTGAATATAAATATATTTTTTTAGTGTTAAAAATCTAAGAACTTATTGAATTTGAATAAGGTAAAAAAATTAGCCTCTGGAAAGATGTTTACAGTAAACGAAATATTATAGATATTCTTGTTTATTCTATCTTATTCTTTATTATTTTAAAATGATGCTCATTATTGAATTTGGTGTTGTTTTTATGAAATTATAATATAATTTAATTTTCACTGTAAATTCAGAAAAATAAGACATAATAATATAGAGGTATTTTATGAAAAATAATATTGGAGTTTTAATTCAAGTTTCTAGTAAATTGTAGGTTTAAAAAAATAATCTTTTGCCTTTACTGATAAGTTGGAAACTGAGTTAGAATATATCTTTTAAGACAAAATGCATCTGTTCATTGGGTAAAGCAATTAAGCTATATATAGAAAATATGATAATTCAATCTCAAATATTTTATGGTATACATAACCTTCTAACTTAAATATAATTGAATATCTATAGAATGTTTTGAATATAAAGGTTTGTAAACATAACTATATCTAAAATTCTTGGAGAATTATTGATTGTTTTTAAGGAAAAAATGGAATGAAATTGAAAGACATTTTAGAAAATTTAGTATAAAGTGTGTTGAGAAAGGTTTAAGCTATAGTAGATAGCAATGGTTATCTAACTAAATACTAATTATTTTTATAACAAGTATGTTTTTATGAATAAAATAAAAAAATTTTTATGTAAAATTACTTATTAAAATTTTTTATAATTAAAAAATTAAAGTTGCCTATTAAATTTAAAAATTGCGTTAATTTTAAAGTGGTCTAATACTTTTGACTGGGGAGTGTACATGTATGTACAATCTAGACACATCTAGACAAAGGAAGGGTATTTTAATGTGTCATATTCGTTGACCAATGGTTATTATGAAATACTTTATTCAATATTTTTGACTCCTCACCAGTCTTAGCTTGGCTTGCATAAATATATATAAAATAAACCACAAGGCTTTGATCTAATACTTTCTATTCGAGCGTCATTAGAGTTCATACGCAAAATAATCCAATCAAATTTTCAGTGTAGTTACTCCTCGCAATAAATGTTGATGCAATGATTAAAACGAAAGATCTTTTGTTTCATAAATTATTGTGATTCATTAATAATTATAAGTTTTCGTTTGAAATTCAAATTGAGTTTCAAATGCTCGAAAGTGTTTTTTAAAAGAAAAAAATCAAACGAATATCGAAATCATCAAATTCATTTGAATAACGAGAAAATAAATAAATAAATATTTTTCTCGAAGGTCTGAAGGGTCTTTCTCTTTTTTTTTTATATTTTCTTTGGGTACTAAGTGAGTTCTTTTCCGATATTTGAAATAATTTTCGATATACAAATATCAAAAAGCAAACGATCCTTCTATCTTCTGACAATTCTCAACCAATATTTGAAGAGATGTGTCACTAATACTATTTATTGGATGAAATTGAGGTTGCCGGGCCAAATCCTGAGGTTTCAAAATTGAAACCGTTGAAACCTGTCAAAATCTGTGAAACCCATCTAAATCGACTTTGTCAAAATGGGATTTGGGTTTTGCCCTGCAACCTTAGATGAAATTCATTAGAAATTTCCACCTATGCAAATGCTAATTATTTTTTTTTTTTGGTCCTACGATGACCGATGGGACTTTGTATTTTACTATGACTTCTATATAAATAACCATAAATATTATAGTAGCGAAACAGAAACACCATGATAAAGTTATGAAATAGGTTCTTACAATATTTAGCAAATCTTTCAATCCTCTAAAGATATGCAATTTAATATTTCCAAATATAAAAATTATCATCCTTTTTTTCAAAATGAATTGAAGTAAATAAATATTCATTTTTTAATAATAATTTGAATATTGACTAACTCACATGAAGAATTTATCTGGTCGGTTGCCAATTTACAATTTCTTTAATTTATATCTGACATTTTTGAGATACTTATTTTAACACGATTCTTGACTCGTGTTCTTATGGTGTCTTTATGCTAAATTTTGTACATAATAATGATTCGCAATACACATAAAAAATATTCATTTTTTAAATTAAGTAGTTCAGACTAAAAAATTCTGTGTAAAACATGTGCTAAAATTTTACAGATATATGCATATTATCTTCGAATACTAGAGTATTAATTTATTAAAATTGAATTATTAAATAAATAAAATTTGTTATGAAAAAATTTTTATTATTAATACATGTAAAACATATATTTAACTGATGAGTAAATTAGCAAATACTGAAAGGTTCTACATAATAAATAAAACTCGAATTTTTTTAGCATTGATTAATAGTATTTTAATCAATCTGTATATAATTTTAATAATAAAATGAATAAATTTATATTTTACTAAAACTAATTTTATTTATAAAAGATTGGATGCAAATAATATATAGATAATATTTGGTTTCAAGTGAATCATTTCACCATACATTTCTAAATAGTTAATGAATATATAGTGAAAATTTCAGATTTCACCCAAATATCTGTGGTTTCGCCCGAAGTTTCAAAGTCAACTTTACAGATTGATCGGCATATTTGCATTTTATTTACACCATTTAACGCTTGTATTATTTTATTGATAATCAAAACATTCAATAGTTAGTAATTTAATATACTGTAACTTTAAGATTTTCGTTGAATACATCTCTGTTTCTGTATAATATAGCTGTTATCTAATCCATACTTCTATACAACATTTTAAACCTTTTTTTACATAATTCATTAAAAAAAAAAAAAAAAAAAAAAAAATAGTGAAATATTCTTAAAGCAGCAATAAAACCGAATCATTTAATTGACCAGATGCTAAAATGTATGCATCTATATCAAAGTAAATAAAAAATTTATTTTTTATTTTTTTATTATAAATTTTATATTACAATATTTTTTATTTAGACAATATTAATGTTAAAAACATCTAACAAAATTCTCATTTTTTAGGATCACAGCATGCTTGCACTTAGCCAGATATAGAACTGTTTCTCCTGAACACCGCGTAGAGGTGGCAAGCCTTATTCAGGTTAAAAAAAAATTACCACAGGCAACATAATATGATGTTAATGGTTACCAGTATAAATAAGGAAGGAAATCATTTAATACCGAGAAAAACCAAAAACATATAAAATGTAGCCTTTTAATCCCAAAATAACTCAGTTAAATGATCTCTAAAGCAAAGCTTTAAACACCACTGGTCCATCATTACTCACTTTAATGACTTCTTCACAGGAAATTAAAGCTGGATAGACTGGTAACCAGGTATTATAGCCGCAGGCAAAACGCCCGATAACTCGGTATAATGATCTCCAAGGTTAAACCTCAAAGACCACTGGTCCATCATTACCTGCTTTAACGATTTCTTTACAGGAAAATAAAGCTGGATAGACTGGAAACTGGTTATTATAGCCGCAGGTAAAACACCCGATAACTTGATATAATGACTTTAAAGGTTCAACTGGTTAAACTTCAAAGATCACTAGTCCATCATTACTCGCTTTGACAATTTCTTCACAGGAAATTAAAGCTGGATAGACTGGAAACCAGGTTATGGCCACAGTCGATAACTCGATATAATGACTTTTACCATTAAACTGGTTAAACCTCAAAGACCACTGGTTCATCATTACCCGCTTTGACAATTTCTTCGCAGAAAAATAAAGCTGGATGGACTGGAAACTGGGTTATTTAGCCATAGATAAATACTCCTCTTTATCTTTGATGTTGATGTACCAAAGAAAAGAACTCAGAAATCTGTCAGGTAAACAGTCATTTTATATTGTAAAGAAAAGTGGTTAAGTCTTATACTTGAAAAGTAAATAAAAAAATACAAAAAAAAAAAAAAAAATAAAAAATATACCTTCGGTCTGAACGATCAGAAATGAACAGGCCTATTATTAAACTATAGCCCTGTTCAATTCAAATGGATGATTGGTTCAAACAAAAATTGATAATCAATTTCATAATATTGAACAAGGCTTATATTATTTCGCAAGCATATAAGCGAAAATTTAATCAGTGAATTTTTTTTTGCAGGTGATTTCACTTTGTGAAATTTAACTGATGATGTTTTGTTAAAAATAAAAAATGAAAACTTTCTTTACTATTTTATGATTTAGTGACAATGTTTAGGAAACAATGATCTTTTGCTAATTAATATATATACATAGGAGAGGTTTCTTAGGCAAAGTATATTTTTCAAACATCGATAAATAGAACGATTTTTTTTCTTATAAAACTTTCTCTTTAGAGGGTGGGCTGCTTTTATTCATTTATTGATTGGATGTTTAGAGAATTTATAATTCTTGTGAGTCATGTGAAGTTTAGATCATTCTTTATTTTATTAGACATATTAAAAGGTAATTTTTTTGTTATCCTATCCACAAAATAAATAAATGTGATTTTAATATATACATGATCAACAAATGATCGGCATAGTGAATTAGATGTGTCTGAAAAGTAGATTTCTTCCTTTTTTCACAGTTGTAATAAAGGAGACAACACAAAGTAATGAAAATGTTGAACTGTTAGGCCAATAATAAATTTTATAAATTTCTGGATTTAGGATAAAGAAAGCCAAATGCCAAGCGGGTCTCAAAGTCTAATACATGCAGAATTTAATGATACAGTTTGGTCAATTTTATTCATTTTGTAACTGTAACATTTATATGATTTTAAAATACTAAAAAAAGTTACAATCTAATTCATTTATTATTCACACAATTTAAGCTGGTTGATCAACAATGCATTGTCAATCTTATATTTAATATATTTAATATACAAAAAGCATGAGAAGTTGATTGATAACATGGTCTAATTTTGCGTATCAAAGTCATGATTCCTTTTAAGTACTCTATTTGTCTAATCATAGTATACGTGAATTCACCTTTTTTAAAAACACATGTTGCATATATTTAGATAATTTACATGAACCAGAACTAATTCAAGAATTAATTACCTACCTTTAATATATTACGATTCTTATTTTCCTTTCAGTTTTTATTTAAAATAGAAATGTCACTACACTGATTATTATTAATATTTATTGGGAAGAAGAATGTAATAGTGTTTCATGTAGTATGAGTAGAAATACATCTCTTTATATATTCAATGAACACTAGACATGTAGTATGAGAATAGGATGCAATTAATCACAGCCATATTGTTAACGTGCAATCCTTGCGAATTGTGACAGTTAGACAGGATATTTGAGTGGTGATTCTTTTAAGTTTATGTAGTGACTCAATTTAGTTTATCTCAAGATCTATAGTTTACGTAGTAGTGTATTTACGACAAGACTAGAAGCAAAGCAACTCAATTAATTCAGAGGTGTAATAATACGTTTATTAACGATAAATAATAAAAATAAGAGATAATAATAATATATATAATAAGAAAGAATAAGAGAAATCAAAAGTGTTAAAATACTGAGTGAGATGTTAGGCCAGGCGTCTCTACAAGAACTACTAGATGTGTATCTTAAAATAAAACTAAAAGAAAGCTAAAAAGTGAACTAAAAGTGAACTACTGTTTACATAATTCTATTACTCTCTATTTATATTAATTTAATACATAGATGGATATAATAAATAAATCAAATATATTTAATATGTCTAATATGTCAAAGATATTAATTATATCAAATATGTTCAGTATATCAAATATATCAAATATATCAAATATGTCTGATATATCTGACATTTAGATCTGCAATATACTGCGCCATATTCGTCAATTCAATCCTGTTACATTACTCCTTGCTTAAGATTTCTGCTCCAGCAGAAAGATTCAAAACTTCAATTACCAGGGCTTGATATTCAGTGATTTTTAAACGTCAAATTATCGTTAAAGTAAGTGACTGAGTACCAAAGATTCATTGGACTCCAAGATGTTCAAATAAATAAAAGTCTTGTATAGCAATTCGATAATAATGCATAGTAATAGTAGATGCTTATACCGTACGTTGAGCAGGAGTAATAGTTTCATCTTCGAAGAGTTGTCCTAAATAAAAGGAATTGACAAGTGATAAAAGTCAATTATTCATGCGTGTAGATCGTAAAAGAGCTCAGTAAGTTGTTTGCACTTTTTGTGATAATGTCATATCATCTTTATAAGGTTCTAAATTCTGAGAAATCATGGTCGAAGAAATTGCTGTATATTTTAGTTGTTCTAATACAATTTCAAAATTATCCAATATAGTCATTTTAAATTTTACAAAATAGTGTCATCAGGGTCCTTACTAGGTCTATATTTATAAGAAATTTGTCAACTAATGATGACTTGTGATGTCCATTTAGATCTTTTCAAATATGGTTTTAAGAGATTAGCATGTACCAGATTCTTTCTAACTCATCTATCTATAGTACGCAATTTGTATGTACAGGTCGTATAATATCATGTATGTAGAATGATCCATCAAATTTATCTTTAAATTTATCACCATGTACGTGTGACTGTGATACATTAAACATCAGTATCTTGTCACTAATTTAGTAATTTATTCCAGGGTGACTTTTATTGTAATGTTCCTGTTGTTGTTGTTGACGTAAAATATTTTGTTATGCATCAAGTCTCCTTTGTTCTAATTGGGTTGAAATTAATTGATGATGTTTGTCTACTGCTTGTGGAAGGTTACTCTCAGGCGAAAGGCGTCATAATTGTAAATCAATCAGCAATGTGACTTTTCTTTCATATAATAATTCAAAGGGCTCTAGTTTTATCATTCCTTACTGCGCCGTTCAATAATCAAACAGGGCTGAAGGTAAATAGGAATCCCATTCACCCTTGTGTTATTCTGCATATTTAGCCAAAATATTGCAGAGAGTCCTATTAAACCATTCGGTTAATCTATTGGTCTGAGGATGATATGGGATGATAATCTATGTTTGGTCCCAATAATATGCATAAAAGCAGTAATTAACTCATTTTGAAAGGACGTAGCCCTGTCTATTAAGATTTCCTTTGGTGTACTATGTCGACAAATTATTTCACCATAAATAAATTGTGCCGTCATTTGAGAGGTACAATTAGGGGTGGCAGTAGCTTTTACCCATTTAGTAAGATATTCAGTAGCAACTATAATGTATCTGTTTCTTTTGGTAGTTCAAGGGAGGGTCCTACATAGTCTATTCCAGTACAGTCAAAGGGTTGTCCGATGGGTATTGGGTATAAGGATTCCATTTGTCTAGGTCTACCTTGTCGTTGGCAAATATCACACATTTTTATCCAATTATCAATTACTCAATACATGTTTAGCCAGTAATATTTAAAAACTATCTTGTTGTAAGTTATATCATGACCTAAATGTTCTCCTAAAGGTTCATTGTGTATATTATAGATCAAAGTTTTGATTTTAGTAGTTTTAATGACTAATAGGGGTTGTGAGGGTTGTTTTTGATTCCTACGATAAAGTTGTTGATTTTTAATAAAATATTTGGAGGATTATTTTCGAATTTCAAGTTGTTGTGCAGATGTAGTATTTGGTGGGTAAGTTAAAATATTGAGGAAATTGTAAAGTTGGTTATAGGTTTCTAAATCCATTTTGGTGGTTAGAACTATCAGTCACGCTGCTGACACTTAAGCTTTCACTCTTTATATGATTATTTTCTGAGTTGTAATTCAAATGGTAAGGGAGGGGAGTCGAGATAAAGCGTTTGCATTTGAATGTATTTTGCCTTTTCTGTATCTAATTTTATAGGAAAACTCCATGATTCTAATGATCCATCTCATAAATTTTCTAGGTGGATCTGGTTTATTAAACAACTATTATAACGCCGCATGGTCAGTGACTAACTCAAATGGTTGATAAAGTAAGTATGATCTAAAATGTTCCATTTCCCAATGGCAATGAGACATTCTAATTTGGTAGGTGCATAATTTTGTTTAGCATTATTTAGGCTTTGGCTAGCATATGCAATAACGCGTTTCCTATTTTGATTATCTAGTTGTATTAGTACTGCTCCAAGTTCGACATAAGATCTATCAGTAAATAATAAAAACTTTCGTTTGAAGTCAGGATATATTAAGATTGGTGCTGTAATCAGACAGTTTTTTAAATGTTCAAACGCTTCCTGTTGATATGAGTCCACTTAAAAGAGGTTTCTTTCCACAATAATAAATGTAAAGGGGCTACTTTAATAGAAAATTCTTGAATAAACTTTCGATAATAAGAGGCTAATCTAAGAAATCCTCTAAGTTCTGTGATATTTTTAGAGATGGGAAAGTTTTTAATCTTATCTATTTTCGACGGGTCTGGCGAAATTCCTTGCCTACTGATAATATGTCCTAGAAATGCAAGTTCTAATTTGCAAAACTCACATTTATCTTTATCAAGTTTTAATCCTGCTTTCTCTAGTTTTCCAAAAATATGTTTTAAATATTATATATGTTCCTCAAAGGTAGAGGAAAATATAATGATGTCATCAAGATAAACTGCTACGAACTGCCTAATTTCTTTCTTAAAAACTTTGTTCATTAACCGCTAAAAAGTGGCAGGTGCATTTGTTAATCCAAATGGCATAACCTTGAATTCGTATAACCTTTGACTTGTAATGAAGGCGGTCTTTGCTTAGTCTTCTGCTTCTATTGCTACTTGCCAGTATCCACTAGCTAAGTCTAAGGTAGA